CTCCCCAGTGCTCCTGCCCGTCTTGCTACATGTGTAGGAGGCTAAACCAAAAAGACCATATGCCCCAGTTTGCCAGGGACTATCCGATTTACTCTTGTCCCAGCTTGATGTTAACAGTGTCCCCATTCACTCTCAGATGTGCCCCAATTGAGGTAAAACTAAGTATGACTACATTCAGCTTTCTGTATTAGACAGAATAGAGGATCAAGTAGAACTTAAATTGTTACAGAAAATAGAAAGAGGTATATTTTTGTACCTTTGAATGTTATGGCCAGTAACACTTATTTCTAACACTAATTTTTAATGATCACATTATCCTACTTTAGGAATATGTTATAATGTAGTTAATTAATTTCAGGGCATAGGACATTTGTATTCCAAGTTTTTGTCACCATAGATGATACAGGACCAACACCTCAGTCTATGCATATCACTCATTAATTACACTTATGCAAGCCAGCTACTATGTCATGGGGTCACTTTCTAAAAAGCTCATACCAATTTATGCTCTGACCAGCATGTTTGAGAGTAGCCATTTTCAGTATGACTGCTAATGCTTGGTATTATCTGTTTGGTTTTATTTTATTTATTTATTTATTTATTTATTTATTTATTTTTTAATATATGTTATTGATTTTTTACAGAGAGGAAGAGAGAGGGACAGAGAGTCAGAAACATCAATGAGAGAGAGTCATTAATCAGCTGCCTCTTGCACACCTCCTACTGGGGATGGGCCTGCAACCAAGGTACATGCCCTTGACCAGAATCAACCCTGGGACCTTTCAGTCCGCAGGCTGACGCTCTATCATTGAGACAAACCAGTTTCGGCTCAGTTTGGTTTTAATAGGCACCGGAAAAGAGGGGAAAGATAGCTTCATATCTGTACCATAAGCCCATTGAACTACATGTTACTGCAGCATTTCAAAACCTTAGAGAAGACGTGTACTGCACGGCTTCTGAGGGCTCCAATCACAGACCACTCTGAGTGGCTCCCTTAGGGATATGCAGCATAGTGGCCCTGCACTCCACATTCTGTTTTGCTTTGTCTGTTGTTGTTTTTAAATTGACTTTGGAGAAGGAAGGAAGACAGAAAGAGAGAGGTCAGTTTGCTGTTCCACTAATGCACTCATTGGTTGATTCTTGTTATGAGCCCTGACCAGGGATCGAACACACAACCTTGGAGTATCATGATGATGCTTCAACCAACTGAGCTGCCCAGCCAGCGCTCACATTCTGTTTGGAGACACATGTTGATGCATGATAGCGTTTGCATCCATTTAAATTACCCTGTCATTTTTATTATTTTTTAAATTTCTTTATTAAGGCATCACATATTTGTCCTCAACCCCCCCATTCTAATCCCCAACCCTACCCCCACTCAGGCCCCCACTCTCCTATTGTCCTCAACCACTGGTTAGGCTCATATGTATGCACATAATTCCTTTGTTGATACCCTATCATTTTTAATCCTGTGGCTGTGCCACATTTTATTAGTGATTTCCTTAGGGAAGACGCTTTGCTATTGCACAGTGCCAGAGAACATCTTTAACTGTGTCTTCATGTGTACAGATACACAAGTTCCCCTGGTGAATCACCATTCTCTATGCTGAGGTGACTGTGACTTTAAAAAATTATCCTACTGAACATGCTAATAAGAAAAAGACAAACATGATATAACGTAAAAACTTTATTAGTATGAATCAGTGTTGTTAAACCCAAAATAACAGATACAATTGGGCAATGTTGAGGGCATTGCTTTACTATGGAATGAATACAAGGTGGAAAGGTCCTAAGTGTCTACAGTGGCATCTTCTATATGAGAACTGGGTCCAGCCCAGACAGAAGCTCTTTATAGAAACATGAGAAAAAGGAGTGTTTATGCAACAGAGCACTGGCATAGGGTCACTGGGTCTGGTTTCAACAATTATGGCACAAAGAATAAACTAGACACCTAACAGGTCTGAATATAGCTCAGAGCCCTTGTGTTTATAAGCCGGCTCATTACTCAACTCCCCGTGAGCATTGCAGAGCGATGGAAACGGAGTCCCCAGGAAGGAACCCAATGCAGCCAGCACGTGCCAGTCTTAGAGGAAGCATTTCCGTTACCTAAACCTCCCGCAGAAAAGGACTTCAGTTCTCATCCGGGCATAGCCATTTCGTTGGCCAAGGGTTAATTCTAAGTCTCCAGCCTTCTATCGCTGTAAGACAACGTCATGTTCAGCACCCCTGTGTACCATTTTCAGCCATGAAATGGCCAGTCAGTTATGTACCTACGTAAAATGCTTGCACGACTCCACTGCCATCTGAGGGCTTCCCATTGGGAGAAAATCCCAGTGGGAACCCATGCCTACACAATATAACACAGTCGTGAGCCAAATTCAGCCAGGGGGAATGGATTACATGTTGGCATGACAAATATGAAATCCTATTTACACAAAAGCACATCATACCACACACGAAAGGGGTAAAAACAGAAGGAAAGAAGCAAATTTTGGAAAATGATGGGAAGAATATTGTTACATCACATGAAACTACTTGTCATGTTGGAGCAATAGCAATTTCCAGGGCTTTACATAATATTTCTTGGTTATAGTTTCATTATAAGAACAGCCAGGAAGTAATCTCGAGGCAGAAAGACGATTAGAAAGCCTGAACAAGGCTCGAGTATCTACCTTCCGAGATGACTCCACATTTATGCAAAGGCTTCTGTTTCCCAATGCCACTACCTTCTTCACCAATTACTCCAAGGAGTGATTATATCTAGTCATCTGACTGGCTGGAATATTTAAGGCAGTACAGAAAGGTAAGAGTGGTTTCACACCCTCACGTGCTTCTGAAATAAAACTGGGGCCTCGCTTGTGGGCAGCTCACTACATGAGGATAAGACCAACCATTTTATGCAAAATGCAACCCCTGAAGACCCAGACCAAAGCTGTGTCACTCAGCTGGGATGCGTACCACCTTAAGCTTGGCAACCTGAGAGGCTGCCTAGAGAGAAACCCAGGTTGTTGAGGACAGTTGAATGCAGGAAGGTTCCAAAATAAGCCTGCATACAACCTGGGAAGAGGGCATTTCAATTTTCATTCCAAATTTTTTTAACTTCGGAAAAAGCATAGTAATTGCTTGGCCTGCAAGCAGAATCACGGTAACCAAAAATGTTGACAATGTAGAAAAAACCCTAAAAACCCCTGCAAAGGCCCTGCGAAGTCACCCAAGTGCCACTTGCTAACGTTTTTTGAGGTACCTGACTGGGGGAGCTAGGAGGCACTTTTGAACCAAAAGTAAGTGTTTACAGCCTTCACATTCTAAGATTGTCAAACTGTTCTTCCAACCTGGGTGAAGAACATCAAGTAGACATATCCTTGCATTCAAAAACAAAAAACCTTAATCTGTGGTTTCCACCTATTGTCTTGATTACCATCCGCATGAAGTGTACACTTTTCCTCGGACTCGCAGGGACTCTTCCTTTTCGTCTGTGGCGGTACTGGTGTCTCCATGCCTCGGGACCCGGGAGACACAGAAGTGACAGGACTGAGTTACTCAGTTCTAAGTTTTTAATCAGCTCGTGACCGCTCTCCTGGCTTTTACATTGTAGGTTTTCAATAAGTGTTTGCTGGCCCTTGTGTGTTCATGGACCACATTGCACAATTAACTATTTCTGAGACGGTTGTGCAGTTTCTTAGCTCCCACAGAAGGCCCTGATCTGAATATCCTTTAAAAATCACCTCCCAGTATAACACCTAATAGGAAGCCAACTGCTTCTGGAGCCTAGGTTTTTATGAAAATTAGAATGGTGACACAATTCGAATTTGGAATAAAAATAACTTTTCTTCCTCTTCATGACTTTTCTCCCTTTACTACCTTTGGATTCAGAGATCTTTAATTAATTGAGCCGACAGGGAACCTGAAAAGGAAGGTGTGTTGTTGTTTTTTTAATCAAAGCCTACACTCAGCTAATTGGCATTCCGGAATTGGACCCCTCTTAAGCCCTAATACCTACTTCCTCTAGCTTGGCATCTTCTAAAATCTTTTCTCCAATTTTGTAGTTGGGGTCTATAATCTTAAAGTGCTAGTACTTCTCTAGGCTGGTTTTCTTGTAACCTTTAATAATTGCTATTATTAAAATTTTGCCCTATATTATCCTTCAGTTAATCCCCCCCACCCCCGAGATATGATGCCATGACATATTCTATTAGTAAGATAACACTCTGTAGTGTTAAACCTCTGTAAGAGAGCAGGAATTTATTGCCATGGAGGTGATGCATGCCAAGTGACCTCTGGAGTAATATTTACATCCTACACCTGTCACTGCTTATACAGTACGTCCTTAAGTGACTCTTCCAAACCAGGCCTCCTAATCCCAAAATGACATGCAATATTTTAGTCAGAGTTGATTTGTTTGTAGATGACTAAAACTTAGGGAAAAAAGTTCATCAAGTAAAAGTCAGAGATGCAGACAACAGTTTCTAATACATCTTTCCCATTTTTATAACAGCTCACATCTACAGCTTCAGTGATCATCCAATTATACTCCACTAAAAGGTAAATTAAATAAAATTAAGTTAGCCTTTCGGTGAAGGCTGGCTGGTTCACAAAGGCAATGGCACTGAAGACGGTGCTGGAATTTGGCTAGGGAACACCGGGAATCAGAGTGGAGCATCACTTTTAGAATCTCACACACATAATAAGCCGGTATGATGTTTGTACAAATTGAGAATATTTTAAGGTTTTGAACAAAAACTCAACTATACTTATTATCTAAAATCCATTTTTCTCCCATGTGCGTTTCATGCATGAAAGGTGGTGTATTTTTCCAGAGTTTTGGCAAATACTTTTCCAGGGACATGTCCTGTCCCATTCCCTGCAGGCCTTCCAGGATGCCAAGCCAACGTGCTCACTGATCTCTAAGTGAGGTGCCAGGCCACCGAGAATGGGGTCCATGAGCAGTGCACAGGGAGGCGGCTCTGGCTTCTTCAAGTACAGGGGGCCGTGGGCCCCGGTCAGCAGCACCGCCGACTGGCTGGTATGGTTTGCTTCCCAAGTTTGATTGCTCCAGTGTTCCCATTTTCTTGGGGGTCCAAGGGTGGGATCTGGCGACCTGGAACAAAAGGGAGGCCAAGGTTGAGTTCCTTTTCCCGAGTTGACACCACACGCAGATTGTCACCATGCTTCACCAGCTCCACGTAATGGCTGTGGGAAGTAGAGGGGCTTCAGGTGTAACTCTCCCCACTCCTTCCCTCCCTTCCTCATGTCCTTGCTCTGGCTGAATGAAATCAAGATCATGTTTAAAAGCTTAAGGAAAAGTAAAATCAGCTTTCCGATAATATGGATTTCCTTGGGTTTGGGACCTCGTGCTTCTGGATAAAGGGAAAAGTTCTCACCCATCTTCTTGGCCCAAACATCAGCGCCCCCCCCCCCCCCCCCCCGTTCCTCCCCTCCATTCCTCCCCCGCCTTCCCACAGATCTATCCACTGCAACAAGCTGCTCAGTGGCACCAGAACTTCACTAATGACAGTGAGTCCTCATTTTTTTTTTTTTGGTTCTTAAAATAGAACTGGACTTTGCTTGCTATCCCTTATCCTACCAATACACATGAAGCATTAACTAAAAAGCCCTAAGAGACACTCTTCATAGGAAACAGTACTTTAATGTCATCCACAAGTAATCTTATTTTAACTTAATGTAATTTTTTATAAATATACTGACAGTCTCTGTAAATAAACAGAAAGTAAAAATTAAAAAGGTAATGGAGGGTCTAGGAAGGTGATAACTAAAGGATGTGGAGGTTTTGATTTTAAATAATAAAGATAATCTAAACTGACTGCTGATGGTTGCATTTATTTATTTATTTTATTTTTTAAAAATATGTTTTATTGATTTCAGAGAAGAAGGGAAAGGACGAGAGAGATTGAAACATCAACGATGAGAGAGAATCATTGATTGGCTGCCTCCTGCACTCCCCACACTGGGGATCAAACCCGCAACCCAGGCATGTGCCCTTGACCAGAATCGAACCCGGTACCCTTTAGTTTACAGGCCCACACTCTGTCCATTGAGCCAAACCAGCCAGGATGGTTGTATATATTTATGACTATTTTAAAAAACACTGAGTTATACACTTTAAATTGTTGAAATGTTGGCACATGCATTTTAAAAAATGTATTACTGAGATATAATTGATATAACATTGTGTAAGTTTAAGGTGTTGACTTGATAATTTAAATATTGCAATGTGATTATCTCTGCAGTGTTAGCTAATGCCTCTAGGATATTGCATAATTATCATTTCATCTAGTTTCTTAGCAATTTTGAAATTTATAACACAGGACTGTTATCTATAATCAGGTATGTGATTTTTATCTTAAAAAAAAAAAAAAAGTTGTCTTTAGAAAAAGGCAATGAGGCACACAGACCATATAGGGGCACATCTGGAGTGCCCAGCACAGGTGACTGGGGAGACTGAGCCCTTCAAAACACCTAACAAGCCAACCTACCAATTTCAGGAGACATAGCAGCTCTGCCTAACACATAAAAACAAACAAAGGAAAGTGAGAGGGCAGGGCGGGGCGAGGGTACACCCCTAACTCCACTGTGGGGCAGGGCGGAGTTATCCTCCATTTTGTGTAACTGGACCCTAGCCCAATCAGGGTCAGCCAAAACAGTGACATCACCACAGAAGTAAAAGCCCGGGCTTGGCGAAATTCGAGCTCTTCCGCCATGCAGTCAGTGTGAGTGGGACAGAGCCCATGCTAACATGGAGGAGGCTCTTTTGTTTATTGCATGGGACTCTGCTCCCTGGTGGTCCTTGGGGATCATGAAGTCTGGGCATAACAGAAAGCAGTCAAAATATAGTCAAAAAAGTATGTTGCAAATGGAAGCATAGAAGAAATCCCCATAAAAAGAACTAAGTGAATTGTAAGCAAGCAAACTACCAGGTACAAAATTCAAAACAATATTTATAAGGATGCTCAAGGTACTTAGTAAGAGTATCAACAACGTAAAAAAAGGACAGTCAGAAAGATTCACTAACTAAAATGAAGAATAATGTACAAGGAATCAACAGTAAAGGGCTCTGAGAATCAAATCAGCGATTTGGAATATGAGGAAGCAAAAAATACCCAATCAGAAGAGCAAAAAGAAAAAAAAGAATCCAAAAATATGAAGATAGTGTAAGGAGCCTCTGGGGTAACTTCAAGCATACCAACATTAGCATCATGGAGGTGCCAGAAGGAAAAGAGAGGGAGCAAGAAGATAAAAACCTATTTTAAAAAATAATGACAGAACACTTCCCTTACCCGGTGAAAGAAATATACATACAAGTCCAGGAAGCCCAGAATCCCAAAAAGAGGAACTTAAAGAGGACCAACCAAAACACATCATAATTATATGCCAAAGGTTAAAGACAAAGAGAATCTTAAAAGCAGCAAGAGAAAAGCAGTTAGTTACCAGGGAGCACCCATAAGACTATCAGCTGATTTCTCAACAGAAACATTGCAGGCCAGAAAGGAGTGGCAGGAAATACTCAAAAGTGACAAAAAGCAAGAATCTACAACCAAGAAGACTCTACCCAGCAAAGCTATCATTTAGAATTGAAGGTCAGATAAAGAGTTTCACTGATAAGAAAAAGCTAAAGGAGTTCATTACACCATACCAGTATTATGATACATGAAATGTTAAAAGGTCTTTTTCAAAAAGAGGGAGGAAAAAAAGATAAAAAGTATGAATAATAAAATGGCAATAAATTCGTATCTATCAACAATTGAATCTAAAAGTCAAAATAAATGAACAGGAATCTAATGAACAAAATAAACTGATGAATAAAATAGAACCAGAGGCATGGATACAGAACAGACTGACAAATCTCAGAGGGAAGGGGAGAAAAAGGTGGAAAGAGATTAGCCAAATAACTTATATGCATACATGCATTATCCAGGGACACAGACAATAGGCCTAGGGTGGGGCAGAAACCAGATGGAGAGAGGCAATGGGGGTACAAGGGTGATATCTGTAATACTCTCAACAATAACGATTAAAAAATAAATGAAAATTTTAAAAGGCAATAGAGCCCTGGCCAGGTGGCTCAGTTGGTTGGAGTGTCATCCTGTATACAAAAAAAAAAAAAAAAAAAAAAAAAAAAAAAAAAAAAAGGTTGTGGCTTTGATTCCCCATCAGGACATACCTAGGTTGAGGGTTCGATCCCTACATAGGCCCTTACTGGAGGCAAACTGGTCAATGTTTCTCTCCCTCCCTCCCTTTCCCTCTCTCTAAAAATCAAATTTTTAAAAAGGCAATAGAATCTGGAAATCACAAATATTTGTTTAGACAGTTTTCAAAGATTTTTATAGGCACCATCCTCACTTAACCCTGTGAAGCTGGCAGAATGGCTATGTCATCATCATTGTACTATTATTCCTCAGAAAACTTAGATAATGTGCTGAAGGTGATTAGTGGCACAGGTGATTCTTTGTAAATGACATCTTGATTTTTCTGATGGATCCCAAAGCCTGCATTCTTCCCACTGTACCACATTAGCTCTCTATGCTACTTTCTCTTCCCCAGGAAAAAGGCATGAAAGCTAACTCTAAAACAAGATTTTATTTTATTTTTAAAAATATATTCTATTGATTTTTTACAGAGAGGAAGGGAGAGGGATAGAGAGCTAGAAACATCGATGAGAGAGAAACATTGATCAGCTGCCTCCTGCACCCCCTCTCCCCCCACAAGGGATGTGCCCACAACTAAAGTACATGCCCCTGACTGGAATTGAAACCGGGAACCCTCAGTCCGCAGACCACAGCTCCATCCACTGAGCCAAACCAGTTTCGGCTAAAATAAGGAGATTTTAAAGTCAGCTAATTAGAATATTACTTTACTAAGAACCCAGATATTAGAAATGGAAGGGAACTTAGTTTCAAAGATAAAGTCTGTCAATGCAACTGGATGGTACCTAAGGACCATAAAGAGAGTGAAAGGCCCTGGTAGAGGCACTTTTCCACAAAAGGCAGAAATAGTTAATTTCAAAGGTATTAACGAGTTCTGTAGATTGGGTGGTGTGGCCATTCACCAAAAACTCAAGTATAAAAATTGAGATCATTGGCAATTACCCAAAATTCAAAATAAATGGAGCAGATAAAAGGGTTGTAGTAATTCCTGTAGTTACTGCTTCTGCCATTTTGTATTGCCAGCAAAACTATATAAAGCTTTGCAGGCCATTCTTGAAAAAGTTCACTCCTAATCCAGTAGCAAATGAGAATGTTAAGTATGTGTTTTCCTCTTCTGGACATGCTAGGTTCTTTCATTAGTCATAATTAAAAGGAAATAAACAAAATGCTGCTTCTACTTTGTCAATCTTAAGTGAGAAGTACTCTGATTTATTTAGATCAAATCTTTCCAGTCAAATGTTACTTACTCCTTAAAAAAGGGTGTTTTGGAGAAATGATAGTGTCAAGATACATCATTATTTAAGTTATTTAAATCAATCAATAATAGTTCAGGTGCCTCCAGAGTGTGTTAGGTATTGCAATACAGACTTTGCATTTGTAAAATATTTAAAATATTTTGAGACAAAATTATAATTCTGATTGGTGCAAGCTATTGATCTAGTAAACTAAGACAAGTATTGTTTACTGATCAGTATTTTTAGCAATATCAAAATCAATACCTATACTAACATCAACTTCACGCTATGCTTATGTATAGAATTCTAGTCCTGCTATACAAGGCTTCTAGTCCTGCTATGCAAGGTTTATTCTACAAACCTCTTGTCATCTTTTGTCCCAATTACAGAAAATATTTATACATAAGATATTCATTAAGTCGCAAAAGTAGAATGGAAGTTTGAAAACAAAGACCATACAGAAAATAGGGAGTGTTAGGGAGGCCTGTCAGCACAGTCCCTTGCTCTCCTCTTCGTCCTTCCTCTTTCCTCCCTCACACTTGTCTCCTGAATGGACAATCAGCAAGACCAGTTAGGGTTGCAAGGTTAAGTTAAGACCCGAGAAACGCCTCAAGGAGATTCCTCTCTCATTCATTTTAAACTTTCAGCCATGTTTTTAAATCAATTTTTGAACATAGCTTTTTAGAGGCAGCAGATTTTGT